TTAAACTTGGCCAAAGTAGACAAATAAATCGGAGAGCACACATAGCTACTTAATTATATAGGAAATGAACTTCATTCAATACAATTCAATAAAAAAATCATACATAAAGTGAAAATTCATCATATCCGAACAAATACACCACCGATTACATCAGATTGATCCCGATCATGTGAGGCAGCTCACACAAACTTCATATTGAATCACAAGGGAGAGAGGATGCAATCTAGCTACTGCTATGGACCCTAAGGTACCGATGAAAGTACTCACACATGATCATGGAGGCATCAAGGTTGATGAAGAAGCCTCCAATAATGGATCTCCCCCAACATGCCTCCAAATTGGATCTCCTCGGTACAAGAACTTACGGCGATGAAAAAAAAAGATTTTTTTGTACCGAGGGATTATGGAAATATGAGATTTTTGACGGAAGAAACAAGCGGTGCCCAGGGGCCCCTCTTGGGGCCCATGGGTGCCCCCGAGCAGGTCCCGACACTTTTTGGACTCTTCGTGACTTGGAAAAATCGCATTAAATCCTCAGTTTCTTTGACCTTCTTAGAGATATGGATTTTCTGAAAAGTAAAAAATATGTAGAAAACACCAATGGGTTCTTGGCACTACATTAACAGGTTAATCCAAAATAATAATATAAACTGCTATTAAAAGTATTCAGACATGATATTATATTAGCACGAAAGAATTAAAAATTATAGATATGCTTGAGACGTACCAACACCCCCAAGCTTAATGACGAGCAAGTAGATGATACACAAAGATAATTTTTGATGTGGGAATGCTACGTAGCATAATCTTGTTTAAATGATGTAAGGTGTTTGTGGACTCATGATAAAAATGATTCAAGGTAATAGTCTATCAATTTAACATTGAATAAACAATAGATGAGCATAAACAATCATCGCCTTTCAGGAATAAAGATGTTAAAGGACGTGTTTCCACACTAAAACAAAAATAAACAGGTGTAGCATGGACAACATCGTATGCTAAGTCTTCCTTATATAAAGACAGTTGAATCATGAGCCGACCCAGGCACATGACCAGGCACTTGAGCTACGCTCACCTCGAACCAATTACTAAATCCCAACGCAATACTTGAGCGTGAGCTGAGACCCTTTAGCACTTTGGATAGCAAAGTAGAATCACATTTAAAGGATTAAGAGAAGTCAAAAATTAAGGAAGTCTCACACTAAAGCAACTGACCGTTAGGCAATGGTGAGGCCTTCCGGTCGATATTAATATGAGGAGTAGGAATTGTCATGCAATGGATGCACTAGATCTATAAGTGTATGAAAGTGAGTTATTTACCCAAAACCACCACATTTAGGGCTAGGGTAAGAGCTTAGTACCAGATTTGAGCCATGTCACAAAAAATCACCAGTTCTGAGCCTAATACGTAACACGGAGCACTGACGGGCTGATTTGGCCGTGAAAACAGCGAAACCGACAGGTGGGACCCACCTGTCGGGCCGATGTGGCATGCCTACATGGATAATTTGCTGAGGTGGCCAAAGGCCGACCTGTCGGCCTCCCTCCCCCCCCTCTCTCTCTCTCTCTCTCTCCAAGCATCTTCTTCCCCACCAACCAACAATATCCAGCGCCGCCGTCGGAGCCTTACCCCGGCGAGCCACCCCACCACCAGAGAGCCTCCCTGTCGCCCTAGCCATCTACCACCCGCCGCCCCAGGCACCTACAACTCGCCGCCACAAGCCACTGCCCCGGACGGGATCCAACCCCAGCCGCACCTCCAGCTCTAGTCTGCCCCACCACCCACACCACTGCCAAGCTGCTGTGGCTAGCGTCCAGGGCCGCGCCGCCACACGGAGGGCTTCACCGGCGCCAGAGTCAAAGGCACGGCCGTGTGTGCTGGTAGGCGTCTCGATGCCGAGCACCTCTCCGAGTCCAAAGGGATTCGGCGCGCTTCGGTCTGTGAGGCTACCACGGGGCACCGCCGCGAGCGTGGCCGTGGCCATGGCGCTCCATGACTCGCATGCGGCAAGGGCCGCGCCTTGAGCACGGGTGTGACCAGCACGCTCCACCACGGTGCACCCCCGTCCAGGGCCTTTTGGCGGTCACCGCGAGCACGGGCGCGACCATGGCGCTCCACCATGGTGCACGCGTGCACGGGCGCGGCCAAGGCCAATGGGCGGGCGACGCAAGCACGGGCACGGCTAGTGCCTCCCGGCGGGCGCGGCCAGGTCTCGGGTGACCGTCGGCTAGCAAGGGCGGCGAGCGGCGCTAGCGGCATGCAGTGCGCTGATGCGCATTACCTGTTTGTTGAAATGTCCAGGAGGAAAATACCCAGGAGAAAAAGGAAAAATGGAAAAAAGATAAACACTTGAGTCATTTACAGGTGGGACCCTCGCCCAACTCAGCATATTGTCCACATAAGCACGCCACGTCAGCCTGGCAGGTGGGCCCAACTTGTCAGTTTCACTGTTTTCGTGAGCTTATCAGACAATCAGTGCTCTTCGTTAGTCATTATGCACATAGTTGGTGTTTTTTTGTGATGTGGCTCAAATCTGGTACTGAGCTGTTACCCTAGCCCCAAGTGTGGTGGTTTTGGGTAAATAACTCTATGAAGGCTCTCGAAATAGACTAGTGGGGTGTGCATCCTACTTGCCATCTAACAAAGACAATTTTTCGCCCAGAAGAACACTAAGGTCTTTTTTTTTTGGTGAAACTTCATACTTGAGTAGGACACTCGACCATGTTTGCCACCAAAAAGTTTCAATTTTGTCTAATTTGTAAAATATTTTCTAAATTAAATCCCATATGGGGTGCACCTAGAACCATGTTCCAGAAAACCTCCCCCATTTTTTCTATGGATTTAATCCAAGTTAAGCAAGTTTGACTAAGATAAACATACTACTAAATGTGTGTCAAGGAAAGAAACTTGAGTGGAGTGATGTGATTGCTTGTATAGGGGAGGCGAGTGTAAGGCTATATTTGTCCCAATGTAGACATAAGCCCAATGTTACGCTGATGCTTACGATTTTGTCTTGATCAGTGTTCTTTTATATAAGTTCGTTTTTTTGGTGGCATGGAACACATGGAAATTCAGCTAGCTACTATTAAATGCTAAAGACCAGTTCAAGCTGGCCTATTTTAGTCTGACTAAAAATAGTTTTTTTAAGAGGCTAAAGTTCCAAGCACCCCTGACTAAAGAGGGGCTAAAACTAGTTTTGAGACTAATTTTTTAAGTCAGGGGTACCCCTACTAAAATATGGATTAGTCCTCTCTCTCCTCATTTAACTCCTCAACACAGGTGAGTTCTGGATTGGAGGGTTTGGAGGATAATAAATGCTCATTAACTTGATTTTAGTCGCTTTAGTATTTGGATCCAAGCATGGACGAGGCTAGCAAGTTTTAGTTCCACTACTTTTAGTTATGGGACTAAAACGTATCCAAACACCCTCTTAAGATTACTGCATACGCTAAGAGCATCCGCACAACCCTAAAGTAGGGCTGTAGCAGTTTTTGGGACACTTGGAGGAAAAAATGGTCTCCAATAGCTGTCCTATTGTGGATTTTTTGCAATTTCTTTTGGGCAGCCCAAAAAAGGGCTCCAAGCATTGCCGTTCTGATGCCGCTGAAGCTGAAAAGCAAAGCCGGCTTCAATGGCATGCGGCTGCGTCCCTCCGGCTGGCACGGCATGGAGTTCCAGCACGCTGGCCATTGGTACTGGTTGGGTACCTTCCAGATTGCGGACCTTGCTGCCCGCACCGACGATGTCGCGGTGTTGCAACTCAGTCTGCCGCTGGATAGGCCCAACTTCCCCGAAATTGACACGTTGCAGGGGCCGAAGGTGACCATTGTGACCCGCCTGACAATGCCAAAGATCGACATTGTTGTCAAAGCGAAGGATGCGGAGATAATGGCGAGGTTCACGAGTGAGCAGCCGTAGTATGTTCTGTACGAGCACAAGTGGTACTGGAAGAGGGACGCAGAGAAGAAGGGGAAGGCAAAGACCAACGACGAGGCAGGACCTTCCTCACAGGTGGTGGCCAACATCGAGTAGTCTGAGTCCAAAGACGTCATTGATCGGGATGGACTACTGCATTCGAGTGACGAGGGTTCTGACATCAAATGGGATAACATTGACAACGAGTAGTGTGTCCGTAGTGCTAGTAGTAGTCTAGAAGTACTATGTTTGAACTTTGCATGGAGTTGTAATGAAGTATGTTTGAACTTTGCATGGAGTAAGTTTGAACTTTGCCGAAGTATGCAATGCAATGTGAGAGTTTACATATTTTAATGCCCTACTATAGGGCAGTTGTTGGAGACACCACTTCTTCGTGTCCAAAAAAAGCACTTTCTGGTGCCTAAATTTTTTACTCCAACCTCTTTTGGTGACCTAAAATAGGGCAGTTGTTGAAGATGCTGTAAAGATCAACTTTGACATCCACGGTCCACGCATTAGGCAAATACCAAAACCGATCACATGCTGCACTTGTCCGGCAAACCCATATCTCATGGTGCGGCGAGGAAGTGTTGCTACCGGTCGCGTTGTTTCGAAATTTTTGAATCTAAATGTCGGTGTCAGGTCAAATAAGTTGCGTATGCACATCTCAACAAGATGAAACCATGCATCATCGTGTTGGAAAGGAGCATACCGGTTCGGTCGCGGATCAATTCCTAGCCTCAGCCGCGACTAGAACTCTCAGTAACATACCTACATGTTATAAGTTGGAATGTTTATCCATTTACATGGAAATATTTTGAATTCAAAATTCGTTCAAATTCTCCGGGCGGTAAAACGCCGAGAATTCGGGTATTCTTGGGTAACCGGGTTTTGTCGGTGGACCCCAGTAAAAATTTAAACGAGAAATAAAAAAAACCTTGATTGCTAGACAAATCCGCGTACATTACTGTACCCCTGTTTGGGTACCTTGCAAAACACTGCCACAATGAACCTTCCAGCACAAGACATGAATCACAAATTGGCGAAATAGAAAACCCCATCGGCTCTGATGCTGTGTGATCGACTAGCATTCGGGGAGGTCAGTGGGTGGGGGCATCAACTTGTGGTTGGGAAGGCTCCCGTCTAGCACCAGCCACGCCATTCTCATTCCCCACGAGGCGTGCACCTCCAAATGGCAATGCATGAACCATACACCTGCATATGATACGTACGTAAGAGCATGGATAGAAATATCCTTTCGATCAGCACGGGGTTGTGTTTAACTCTTATTCACCTGGATTATCGGCGAGGAAGCGAATGGCCACCCACCCTCCGGCCGGCACCACTACGGTGTTCCTCTCTACCGGGTCGATGAGGTTGAACTTGGCGGGGTCGTTCACGGGGTCGTAGTTGCCGAATCCTTGCCCGACCACAAAGAAGTTGAAGCCGTGCAGGTGCATGGGGTGGCTGATGATGCCGAGGATGCTCGTGTCCTGCATCACCAGCTCCACCGACGCGTTGAATGGCAGCACCGCAACCTTGGTCCCCTTGCCGACGTTCATGTTGTCCGGCGGTGCCCCGGTGTAGTTGAACTGAAACGGGGGCATGGCCGGAAAGTCGGACCCGTAGACGCCCCGCGACATGCCGGTGAAGTGCGACTGAAGGAGCGCCATGGAAGGGAGTACGAAGGAGACGTTGTTCACAGCTGCCGCGAACCGCGTCCCGTTAACGGGCCCTTGGCACGTCGCGTCCATGGGGCACGGGAACGTGCCCATGCCGACCGTGAAGAAGAACTTCTTGTCAACCGACCGCGGCACGACCGGCGTGGCAAGGCTGCGGAGCTTGGAGGCGAAGTTGGCGACGAAGCCGGTGTCGTTGAACCGCGGGAGCGTTGGCTTGAACAGTGGCAAGTCTTTGTCAGAGGTTGGCGCTATGGGGGAACCCGGATTTTGGTACTCGAGAATGCCGGCAACGGTGGTGTTGTTGATGGTGCTAGGCCTTAGGGGGTCCCTAGGATTTTGGTACCCTAGGTAGAAGGCGGCCAACATGTAGAAGTTGGCCTTGGGGTACAAGGGCTTGGTGGTGAGGAGTACATTGGTGGTCTGGCCCGGTGAGATGATCAGAGTCTTGACTGTGAAGGGCTTGACATAAACGGCATCGACCTCGACGATGGTGAGCGTGTGATTGGCGACGGAGAAGAAGAGTTCGTCATCGAGCGCGGCATTGATGAGGCGCAGCATGTACGTTTTCCCGGGTTCCACCTTCAGTCTGAATGTGTCTGCGTAGTGTGTCATCATGTACGCCATCTCTATATTAGTTTGCACGTTTTACAAATCCATGACATTGGCTAGGCAGAATAGAAAGCATGCTTAGTCTAGCCCAGTTAAGGTGTAGGGTCACTAAGATCTACTAGTAGATTACTTCTTATTACCATATGTCATGTCATTGTTGCATTTAGAAACTGAAAGAGAGCGTGCAAGCATGGCAGTTTTGTTTCAAGTCAAATTTTGATCAAGTTTGTAGAAAAATCTGTCAACATCTACAATGCCAAATCAAGACCATTAGATTCATCATGAAATACATTTTTATGTCATATATATTTGGTATTGTAAATATTTACATTTTTTCTACAAACTTAATAGAACTTGACCTAGGACAAATCTATATGGAGGGGAACTTTTGGTCGATGGGTGTATATACACCCTATATGGCAAAAATATTTAGTAACTAAATAAAAAGTCAAAAAAATGAAAATGTTTTTTAAAATAAAATTGACCTTCCATTGTACTTGTAAAAAAAATCTACAAAAAGTAAAACCCTCGTTGACTTCTTTTAGAAAGAAACAATTTTTTGACCAAAATAGTATGAATAGTGACATATAGTAGCAATAGTTTTTATTTTGTTTGCCCTGAAGTCAACACTGCCTTTTTGTTCGCGGAAGTTTACATACTAGTGCAAAAGAAAGTCAAGTTTATTCTAAAAATAACTTCCAACTTTTTTGACTTTTATTTATTTATTATTTTTCCCTCATATGTGGTGTATACACACCCAGGAACCCAAAGGGTATTACCCAAATCTATATTATTATTTTAGTAACAAAAGGTAACACTTTTTCCTCCTATTTTTAGACACTTGATTAACCAAGCACAAGCATGTCCGTACCTTGGGCAGAGCAGTTGTAGAGCGGCCCAGGGAGCCCATTTATTGTAAAAGCGTCGGAGACATTCGGGGATCCGCCCGTCTGGAGCGCCTGGCTGACCACCGCCTCCGTGTCCGCCTTCCACCATTCACCGAAGATGACCGGAACCTCCATGTGCGGCGCGGCGAACGGGTAAGCACGCCGTGCTTGGGGAGGATGACAATGGCGCCATAGACGGTGGCGCGTAGCCAGGAGATGTGCGCGTGCCACCACAGCGTGCCACGCTGCCCGAGGACGGTGAAGTTGTAGACGTAGGTCTGGCCCGTCCGGATCGGGCACTGGGTGACGTACGCCGGCCCGTCGGCCCAGCCGTTCCGCAGCTGCCGGACGCCGTGCCAGTGCAGCGTCATGTTGTGGCGACGTGGTTGGTGACGCGGACGGCGACGCGGTCGCCTTCCCTCGCCACGAGCGCCGGTCCGGGGTACTCCCCGTTCACCGTCACGATGCTCTTGGTGGCGCACAGCCTCGTCACGTTCGCCATTTGCACCTGCATGCCGGGGTCAAGGTTTGGAGAAGACGCATCATGAGCTTGATGTGAGAAAGCAAAAGATAGCGTGCGTACGGCCGGAAACGCATGCATGCATAGACCTGTGGTACACATACATTGAAATTGTAGTGCCTGGTGAAGCTTTGCGCCTGGACGATGAGCAGCATCAAGGTTGCCATGAGGAGAGAGCAAGGAGCTGGGAGAACGGAGGAGATAACCATGGACATAGCTAGCTTTTAGGTGGTTTCTGAGCTTCTGAGTTTTTCCTTTTTGATAAGGAAAATCTGGGGTCTATCTCGAGGAGGGTACGATCCAGGTGATGGAGGGTGGAATGAATGTTGAGACAGGCACTTGGGGTATATCTACTGGAGGTCCCTAACGTACGTGCCACTGGCCGTACCACTAGCATAGGTCAGCGGGGCGAGATGCTAGCTGCCGTATGATGTAGCGTGCAAGGTGCGATGCCGTGGTGTTGTGCGATGCAGCACGGCCGAAAAGCGGCAAGCACGCGCATGATGGATCGAGCGGCTGGACATAGGCGTGCTTGTAGATAGGAATTTGTGATAGTGGCCGGTCAAGTTCTGGAGTGATTCTAGCTTCTTTTTTTATGAGAAAACTTCCGATCTACTCCCTCCGTTCCTTTATATAAGATATATTTGTTTTTTGATAAAATTCCAGAATGTAAGGTGTATTTATTCTAATCCCTCATAATTCCTTTGTTAACCTTCCAGAAAAAGGAAAATATCTCTCTCCTAGTTGTATGTATCTCTTCTTGTAGCAAAAGAAGGAAAATATCTCTTTGTCGATTGCATGTATCTCTTACTTTCCCGGACTATCTGATTTACTTGCCACTAGCCAATAAATCTGTTAAGGGTAATTTCGTCCTACCATGTCTATAATTATATGCCTTGGTCACTGTGACGGAAATAATACACTTTACATAAAGGAATTGATGGAGTATTCATCAACTGTCAAGGTAGTACATAGAACACGAGAAGTAAAATTTACATCCAGATCCGTAGACCACCTAGCGACGACTACAAGCACTGGAACGAGCTGAAGGCATGCATCCATCATCGCCCCTCCCTCGTCGGAGTTGGACAAACATTGTTGTAGTAGACAGTCGGGAAGTCGTCGTGCTAAGGCCCCATAGGACCAGCGCACCAGAACAGCAACCACCGCTGATGAAGAGAAACGTAGATCGGAAGAATCCAACCTGCAGACACACAGACGTAGACGAATGAAGATCGGATCCATTCGGATCCACCGAAGACAAATGCCGACCGGATCCCACGAGATCTGCCGGTGACAAACCTCCACATGCCTTCCGATGATGCTTGAAACATCACCAGGACGGGGGCTAGATGGGGAGGATCATATTTCATTTTCAAGAAGCTGTAGTCGTCTCGTCTTCTTGAGCATATGGCACAAACCCTAACAAAACTCAGAAAAACACCTAAAAACGGAGCCCTCCCGCCAGCAAAGACCGGGATCCACCGCACCTCCATGGTCCAAAGACCATAGGAGACAAGGCGGACTGGCGGCGGCGGCGAGAGGCAGGGAAATCCT